GTCCGGGGGTGCAGGTGTCGGGGCGCCGGCGGGGGTGTTTTGTGGTCGGCGGGGGTGGGGCACCCCGGCGGCGGGGGTCCGGGGGTCGAACCCCTACCCCGGCTTTGCCCCCGGGGGCCCCCGCCTGACAACCTGCATGAAACCTCTGAAATGATCTGAAGAGGTTGAAGCTTTCAAAAGCGATTTCAGGTCCCCCCATCCAAATGCTTGGATGGAGGAACCTGAAACCGCTTTTAGAAGCTTCAACTACTTCAGGTCATTTCATAAGTTTCAAGCCAATGACTTTGATACGTTATGCACGTTAAGTGCGCAACATGTTTTTCACATCGTTGATCATATAGACTATCACAATAGAATATGTGACTGAGGTGAAGTCGTAACAAGGTAGTTGTAGGGGAACCTGCGGCTGGATTGACTCCTTTCCAATATATATATTTGAAACCGCTTTCAGATATTCAGCCACTTTATGTCACTTCATGAGTTTGAGGTGGGGAGACCTGAAACCTCTGAAATGACCTGAAGTGGTTGAAGCTTTCGAAAGCGGTTTCAGGTAAACTCATCCAAATGCTTGGATGGAGGGACAAGAAACCGCTTTTAGATGCTTCAACCACTTCAGGTCATTTTATAAGTTTCAAGTAGGGACACTTGAGACCTATAAAATGACCTGAATTGGTTGAAGCTTCAAGTAGGGACACTTGAGACCTATGAAATGACCTGAATTGGTTGAAGCTTCTGAAAGCGGTTTCAGGTCCCCCCATCCAAGTATTAGGATGGGGAGATATGAAACCACTTTCAGAAGCTTCAACCTCTTCAAAACATTTCATAAGTTTCAAGTGCGGAGACATGAAACCTCTGAAATGACCTGAAGTGGCTGAAGCTTCTGAAAGTAATTTCATGTCCTCCCCATCCAAGTACCCAACACATTTATGAGGAGCTGAAAATAACTTGAAAATAGAGGCATTTGTTAACCTTCTCTTTGTTGAGTCTGCATCAAAGTTGCCTTGTCCCTTTCAGGTTCATCTTCATCTTCTTCATCCTCACCCCTTCGTCCTCATCCTGACGGACGGCCATTTCGGCGGGTCCGTCACACTGGTATTAGAGTGGGAACCATACCACGTCCTGCACCCTGACGGGCGGTGGGCGACCGTTTGCCCCCCCCCCCCCCTTAGTGATGGGCGCCGACGTGGTGGGCGGTTTTTTGCCCCCCCCTCCCCCACCCCGCTGCTCACGGGCGCCGACTTGCCAGGACCCGACAATGGGTTTTCAAGGTGTTTTGCAGGGTGTACATGCAAAAAAAAAGATGCAACGTCGTACGGGGTGCCATGTGGCGAAAAAGAAATCCCATCGCAACGTGTGCGCGCA